ATATTAATATAGTTTGAATTGGTTGTTAATCTCTATTTGTTCATCTACGTTTTGATTGTGGTTAGTTGAAAGGGCCCTCAATTATCCATTCCTATTTATTATGTATCTTCTTGAGAGAGAATGCATATTTAGGTAGTTGTTTGAACAACATCACTCCCGAAGTATAGACGAGAGTCATAATCGAGAGTTTAGAGATTGAATTAGAGATAACGATACCTCGGGTGAAATATAAAAGAACGGTAATGTGAATCTAGCTAGCGTAGCTTGAGAGAGTGCGTCTAGTAAATTATCATAATTGCTTGAGAGAGATTTATGATAGCCGGAGAGTTCTTGATTGATAGAGACAACTAAGGCATCGCTACAAGAAACGTACAACTAAGAAAATCACCAACGGGGGAAACCATTACCTTAGACCTTATTCCAACTGTTTACACATCAAGCATAGTTAATTTTCAGCTGTTAATTATTTTCAGACTTTAGTTGTTAGAAATATCATCAATTGTGAATTACAAAGTTTGGGGAAAATTGATTTTGTGAATTTAGTAAATCAGTCAAAAGTAATTGATAGGTTAATTCTCTGTGGTTCGACTCTGGGCGGAATTACTCAGATTATATTTGCTACGTCCGTGTGTGTCTTTGTATAAGGCATAGTTTGGCGTTATCAATATGCTTCCAATTCCAACTACTTAGGAATTTAGGTGTAGTAGATTATTCTATTTAATAATTAGTCTTAACCAGATGACACACTGATCCCAATTATGATATGGCTGTTAAAACTATCAGCAAAACATCATCATTTGTGTTGTACACAAGGGCGGCTCCATAAAATTAGTGGCCTAAAGCCAAATTTTAATAAGAGGCCTTATACTTTTTTATTAGTACGTATATACACTTATATGCAACAAAAAAAATATCTTGCCATTTTTTCATACTTGTTATTTATAGTATACATTCATAAATGACATAAAGTCTTTAATTTCACATAGTAATATTATTATTTATATTAGAAAAGAAAAATTTAAACAAATGAGATGTTAGACATGTATTTGCAATATGTTACCTTTGATATTGGCGTGAAAAATATATTTACTAATATGAAGATTTAAGTAGTTTAATTTTAAAGTTTTAAAAATATTTTTATTGTTTAAGAGTAGACACCTTTCTTTCTTTTTTACAACTTTTTTATTTTTTCCTACAAACATTAATATTGTCTAATTTGAAATAAAATTATAAAATCCATTATTAAAAATTTTGGGGGACCTAAATCAAGGCTTTACTAGGCTCATACTAGAGCCACTTATCCATCCCTGACATTCTCAATCAAATTTATAGAGTCTCACTTAAGATAAAGCAATGACAAGAGCATTAAAGGCAGTAAGTGTGTCATTCAGTTACCAAATGTGAATGAAGCTGATTGAACAGTACGTTTATGGCGATGCAGTAACCTGTAAATAATTGTTGATTGTCAATGAGGGGCGGCTCAACAAAACTGGTGGCCTAGACCAAAATATATTAAAAAGACCCTGAAACGTCTTTTATAAAATCCATATAATATTGAGACACAAAAAAACCTACATGACATTGATAAAGTGGTGAGAGCGCAACTCATGTGTATGAGTTAGGAGCGCGTCATATGGTATCGAGTTCTTCCCTTAAGTGAAAATGGTAAAGTGTGAGCTCATTATTCATTATGTTTTGAACCTTGCCACATTTGCCTCGGGGATTTCTTATTTAAAAAAGATGAGACACAAAAGAACTTGCTTTCTGGTGTGTGGATCAATCAAATGTGACAAAAAGGAATAGTTAATTTAGAGAATTTGAGTTGAAATTAGAAAGTAAAATCGTAAGAACCATGAAAAAGGACTATACATAAAGAAAGAAAAATAAAATTAATGAGAAGGTAAACATATTATTTAATTTAGTGAGAAAAATTTATCCAATTAACTCACTCAATATTACGCCTACCAAATGTTAAAAATTATTAAAATTTGAAATCTTTTATTAATAATTATATAAATATAAATATTTATTTTGGGGACTTAATTATTAGGCCCCTTGCCTTACCCTAGAGCCGCCTTGGTTGTACATGCCTGACTAAGATGAGATAAAGCAGTCAGAGTAGCTCGTTATGCTGTCTTTCTATCGCTATTGCTCTCTTTAATCACGTAGAAAGTTGTTTGGGAAATTGGCAGGAATGGGAGCTGAGGATAATACAGTGGAGCAGACTCATTCTGAAACGACATCTGAAACTATTGAAGCGTTGCTTGAGGTACATCAAGTTAGATTCTATGTTTGTTTTATGTTAACCATGATGTAGCAGTAATCTTGATTTACAAATTGAGTGAAAAATAGCATAACGAACTCTGGTGGTTATAGAAGTCTGCCTAACTCCAAACTTGTTAGAATTCTAAATCAATCTGCACTCAAGTGGTGCAAAATTTTTTGCTTGATTTAATGCCCTTAATCTCTCTATCGCTTGTTCTGCATTAACAGGCTGCGAGATATGATGATTTAGATGATGTCACGAGCTTAGCATCTTCTGGTGTTTCTCTTGATTCAAAGGATTCAGAGGGCCGTACAGGTTATAGTTTCTAAATGACTTATTTGATGATTTGGTAGTTACCCTATTAAATAATAGCACTCCCCATGCTTCCCAAATGCCTTATTTGATTATTCCATGGTTATTCGAGTTGAGATCATCTCTATTATCGGCGGCAAGACGCAAATGACATGTTTCCCGATGACAAAGTTTGGTTTCCGGTGAGGTTATGCTTATATGAGCAAAAGGTACAATTTTTCCTTACAATTGGTGTATGGACAATATAAAATCAAGATCTACTTCTTATCATAGTATCATAGCCTGACTCATTCAAATTCTTGGTTTACTTGATGTTGGACTCCCATATTATATTGTCCATGCACTAGATGTCCGGTCATCTTTTTTCTTAAAAGACCAAAAGACAAGATTGCAATACCTTCAATAATTAATAGCATCATGTTGTCGCAACCAAAACAAAACTGGAAGCCATATCTAACACTTCCCTCAAATTCTATCATCAAGATATAAAGTGCCTATGGTCCTTGTTTCTGCACGACTACATTTAATAATTCAGCCCTCTCAAATTAGTAAATAAGGAGCCAATCTTCATACTTAATGACAAAAATAAGCTGAATGTACTTATTTTTAAGACACGCTTGAGATGCCTTGCAGGTTCGCATTGTTGTAGGCTCCCGTGCTCTAAATTGCTTAGCCCTTTCGACGACTTGTTAAGGGTGCTATGTGATAGTAGGCTATGACTCCATTTACCCCGAATTGGCCTTATTAGAGTAGGAGATACTTCAAAATGATTAGCTGATTTGGACTCTTTTCGACCTTTCTGAGACCTCAATGAAACTACCAACAATGACTTGGATTGATGATGCAACAGACAAAGGACATTGTTGGTAGTTCCATTGCAGAAGATAAGCTAATCATTTTGAAGGATCTTCTACTCCGCTAAAGGCTAATCCATATGGGGTGAATGGAGCCAATAGCCTACCATCACATGACACTCTTAACGAGTCGCCTGGAAACCCGATAGTCTCATCAATTAGAGTCTTGGAGCCTACAACAATAACCCACAAGGCATTTCAAGCAGTGATTACATTTTGCTTGTTTTTCTCATTAAATGAGGAAGCAAACTCCTCATCTACTAATTTTGAAGGGCTGAATTATTTAATATTGAACATTGGCACTTTCTATTCGGATGATAAAATTTGTTGGAAGTGTCATTTTGTTAATGTTAGTGATTTTGCATTTTTTATGGCCTTGTTTAACCTTTTCTTTTAGGTAACTATATGATAGAATGTGGCTTTCCAGTTTTGTTTTGGCCGTAATAACATTGTGCTATTGATTATTGGAGGTATTGCTATCTTCTCTTTTAGTTTTGTTATAAAACAGAACTGAACATCTGGTGCGTGGATAACATAACATGGGGGTCAACATCAAGTAAATCAAGAATTCAGATGGGTCTGATTTTAATACCATGATAACAACTAGGCCTAACTCCACCTCAAAAGCTAGCTAATGAGGTGAGGATTACCTAAGACGATATAAGCAGATGTGGGACAAACTCAATACTTCCTAGCTCACTCAGGATTGGATATTTGGTGCGTGAAAAAAAACTTAGAATTGGATAAAGTAATTCTAACCAAAAAACTGGAGTGGTATTTGAAGGTGAACACCAGATTAAAGTGTCTTACTAGTCAATTTAACCCATTTAAGATGACCAATTCCAGAGAGGATATTTTGTTTTGGGACATCCTCCAGATGGTAACATTTTTCAGAACTTGTCAATTATGCAAAATTGTTTAAAGGGAATCAACCAACTTGAATAGTCTTCCCTCCTTATATGAAGCGTATGAGCATGCTTCTAAAAGCTAAACTCACATGAAGCACTTAGAAAAATCAAAAATCGCCAGCCCACACCAGCACAATATTTGGATTTTAGTCATGGTTTTCTTGTTTCATGAGGATACGGTAAGTAAAAGGAAAGTTGATAGCACCATCAGGAAAGTATGGAAGATGATACATGCAACTATTTTTTGGAGCATTTGGAATGAGAGAAACAACACGTGTTTTGATGGAGTATCAACTTCTTCCCATAAACTCAAGGCTAGATGCCTCATGTATTTGTATAGCCGGGCTTATCTATCCCCTATAGACTCTCCTGATAGTTTTTTGAATTTTGTTAGCTCCCTAGTACTAGTATAAACATTTGTAAGGAGCTAACAGTTGCTATACTCTTTTGTAATTTATGCATCTTCTTGATGCCATCGATGAAACCAATTACTTCATAAAAAAAAGGGTCTGTAGGTGGGGATGGAGTTGTTTGAACTTCTTTGTTAATAGCACTTCTTTGTTAACAACAATTCTTTTATCTTATATAAGCTAAAGAATTCTTTGTATCTTATATAAGTTAAGGCATTCCTTCCAACTTATACACTAAATTACCAACTTTGTTGCTTCTTGCTAATTAGATCTCCTTCTTGCTGTTAATGTAGTTTTTTAATCAGCCATGTATTCTAATTTGTAGCTAATGGGAAACTGGTTTTATTGTCATCTACAAAACAAAAAATTTGAACATGGCAAAAATTCATTTTTACTTCAAAAACTTGTTAAATTACCGTTCAACCATTTATCATACTTTAATTGTGATTCTTTGGTGATACATGTGAAGAATCCTCTTAAAACATATATTTGGAAGTAGCAAAAACTTTCATGTTTCTTTTTTATATTGGTAGAAATTATGGAGAAACCATTAAGTTAGTTTAACTCTCCGAACATATCCGTAGTTAACCCTTTATTATTTTGTCCTTAATCCATCTTCCATACTTCCTTTTTATTTGTGGACGCTGCATGTCGTTCTGCATGTCTTGATAAACAGGTAGACGCAGCTCCCCCACCACAGTAGGCTGCCTAGTTCAGTGGTTATTGGCGAGATCCCTTTTCCGGACTTATCGTGGTCTTGATATGCACTTTTGTTATAGACAAGTTCCTTTTACCCATTATGTCTACTAGTCTCAGGGTACACGCTTTGCGCGTGTACCCCATACTTTTTAAGAATCACGTAAATATTAGACTATGTATTGAGTTATATAAGATTATAAAATGAAATTCAAAGAAAAATTCCTAAAAATAATGGATATTGTTCTCATTAATTAGCTCAATAAATGAAAAAATTATGTCTCACGAAAGTTTTTAGATGCCTAATTGTAATTTAAGGGGACATATGTCGGAATATTTTTATTTTTTTTGATGACCGAGAAATCCGTCTGGGGCCGATTGGACCAATTGCAGCCTTCGAAATTCGGTGGATAGTGGGCCCGCCCCTCTACCCTTCTCCACTTAAATACCAGGTTTTGCTTTGCATGGTGTGAGGGCTTGAACCTGTGACCTAAGACACAAATCGACCACCCTTTGCTTTCGGAATATTTTACAAAAATTATATTGTTCATATGACTTGAAAATAAAAAAATAAAAATACTTTTAGCATGATTTTTAAATATTTATCAAACAATACAAATAAAAAATCAAATATTTTTGTCTTTTAAAGATTGGGAATGAAAAGATCGGCCATACACGCACCTCTTAAAAATATTAGTACTGACAATATTAGTAGCACGTACTTAGACTTTTTCCTATCATATATATGTTTATATATTTTATTTGTATTTTATAGAGTTGTTTGTATTTTGCCGATGATGATTTAGTTGTATTGCATTAATGATAAATGCCGATGATGATTTGGTTGTATTGCATTAACGACTATACTATTGCCTAAAAGAAAAATAAAAAGTTATTTTTATTGTAAAGAAAACTTAGATATTAGATCTTTTAGTGTTCGTAGAATAATATGAAATAGTACTATTTTAAAATAAAAGGGATCATTTCCTTATTTGAAGTAAAATCTCAATTGAATTTACACTCTTAAATATCAGGACCTAATTCAATAAGGAAACATATAATAACCAAAATTTAATTGATTTCAAAGTTCTAAATATTAGAAAAATAACTTAAATTACGATTTTGTTCATTGTAAAATTAAATTTTAAAGGGTAAAGAAGGTGAATGACATTTCGCTAAGGGCCTTCGTGCTTTTAATATAGTATAGATATAGATAACAAAAATGCATACCAAGACCACAACAAGTCCGAAGAAGGGATCTCGCCAATAACCACTGAACTGGGCAACCTACTGTGGTTGGGAAGCTGTGTTTACCTGTCTATCAGGACCTGCAGCACGACATGCAGCATCCACAAATAAAAAGGACGTCGGTACGAATAAAGTACCGAGCATGTTAGGCAGAAAAGCATAAATAAGAACAATAATGCAAGCATGGATAGAGAATATACAACCTCTTACATCTGAGCGCCTCTGAGGGCAACTGACATGAAATGCATGATACATACATTTATATATATACATATACTTTTAAAAACATACGCCTCTATGGGCTTCATCATCATCATATCGTACATAGGCTCAGTAGAAACGTACCCTGCCACGTGGAGCTCGGTAAAACCCAACCGATCAGTGGTTGCACAATAGGTGTCATACCCGGCCTACTATAGCGCGACTCGGTAGAGTAAAATAGGTACATATATATAATGCATGGTGGACTCATTGGAATCACATTCTGAACCTTTCGGAGTGACGTAAGGTTGGTAACCTCCGTACACGTTATTAGGACTAACTTTTCGTCATGGATCTTATAAGATTCAGGAAGTACCAACAACATTGATAACATAAGAATAAGAGAAGTGACATCAACATCAATCGTTCCATAAGAAGGGAAACAATGTAAATACTGCTAGCTTCTAAGAGTGGAGTATCTTTGGAAGCTCGTTCATTACATTATGTACAATAGGAGTCGTGCAAAAGAAGGAAAGGGATAGCCTCACATATCTTGTATATACTTCCCAACCTCAAGGTATGCAAATGTCACGACTCCTTAGTCTACAATAAGAGAAATGATACTATCGTTATCGTTTAAGCGTCATAACTATTATATATCGATCGCAGCCTATTTTACGATGAAACGGACAACACCTCCCCTATTTATATGATTTCCCACAAGTTAAAACAATCACCAAACAACCCAAACAACATCAATAATAGTCATATTAAACCTCCCAAAACAGTCCACTAACCAACAACATTACTAACAAGTGTTTCGATATATATCACACAAGTTCTAGCTTCAACTTCTTAGCCGTAACTTGGATAATCTTAAATACATGTAGACTAAGAGGTTCCTTACCTTTAAACAGATAGAACAACTCCAATTTGACCTTAATTCACCACGAAATATCCTTCCAATGTTGCCACAAGAACAAGGAATCGAAACTAGCAATCAATTCGGGGTTTTCGGTACTAGAATCACTTTGGAAGACTTGAAATCACCTAGAGTGGATATTTAAAACTTGAGAGAATATTTTACAGAACTTAAACCACTTAAAACAACCTCCCACAAGAGCTGGAACCACCCAAAATCAGCAACAATAAGAAGAACAAAAAACTTACTAGCTCTACAGGATTCCCGACACTTAATTTGTGTTGTTTGCCCTTTGTTTGGGTCTTGGATCATGAGAGAACCTTGAGAGAGAGAGTTTTTAGGTGTCTAGGATCTGAAGAGAGTGAAAAAGAATGAGTTAAAACGGGCTTAAGGCATCTCATATATATATCAATATATCTCAATCGCCTATGTGGATCCTATAGAGAGCTGCTTGCGCAGTCTCGCGAAAACGTGAATATCTCTCTCTGATGTCGTATTGACGAACGGTTTAATGCGTTGGAAACTAGACTCATAGATCTTCAATTTGGTAGGTAGATCACCCCGTAATTCTAAGTAAATTGGGAGAAAAGCTTAGTACCATTTGACCTAAAGTTTAAGTAAAATTATGAACGTAAGTTGCGACAACTTTTGTTTCATAACTCGTCTTACTTCAAGACTTATGATATAGATATTATATGATTCAAATACCTTAAAACACGACCTCCTGAGCATATTAAGCACCTCTAGTTTTACCCGAAATACGGGTTACAATATCCTTGATTCGTTTAACTTCTAATACTTGTTAACCACTCTTATACACTCTTGTATCATTTAAGACCGATAGGATTAACTTCTTATCATCTCAAAGATAATGTCTTCTCGGATTTACGTCGACTAACTTATGGGAGGAGATGTAGATCACCAGTTGGATGGTTCGAGGTTGGTGAAACAGAATTATATGGGCCAGATTTGATTGCCATTGAAAAGGTAAAGGTGATACAAGAACGGCTGAGGATGGCGCAAAACAGGCAAAAGCCTTATTCCGATGTCCGACATAGTGATCTGGAGTTTGAGGTTGGTGATTGGTTTTTCCGGAGGATCTCACCGATGAAGGGTGTTATGCGTTTTGGGAAGAAGGGTAAGCTGAGTTCGTGGTATATCGGGCCGTACAAGATTCTTCGATGAATTGGACAAGTTGCTTATGAGTTAGAATTGTCATCCGAATTGGAATTTGTCTACCCGGTATTCCATGTATCTATGTTGAGGAAATGTATTGGAGACCTTTCTCCGGTCGCCCCTATCAAAGATGTACAAGTTACGGAGGATCTATCATATGAAGAAGTGTCGGCGGCTATATTAGATCGACAAGTTCGCAAGCTGAGAACAAAGGATGTAGCTTCCGTCAAAGTATTGTGGAGGAACAAGAATACAGAAGAAATGACATGGGAAACAGAAGAGGAGATGAAGTCTAAATACCCTTACCTATTCCAGATTGAAGACAACGAAGATGCCCCGGGAACGCAGGACGCAATGGAAGCTTAAACAGCTTTATGGGGTAAGCAATAGCCTGAGAATACTCTTCCTTAATACAAAATGGGGATATGCAGACAATGTACATATCCATGATGCTTTATATAGCCCTGTGAGGCCATAGGTTGGGTTTAACTGCTTGCAAGTTTGGCTAGTGTCCATTTTATAGGGGAAACTCGGCCGGAAATTTCCGTCGGAATCCACGATGAGTTAGACTCCCCCATAAACCCTAACATTCGAAGACGAATGTTCCTAAGGGGGAGGGTGTTACAATCCATATTCGCGTACTTTAGATCACGAAGTAAGTTAGTCGACGTAAATTCGAGAAGAAATTATCTTTGAGATGATAAGAAGTTAATCTCATTGGTCTTAAATGATACAAGGGTGTATAAAAGTGGTTAACAAGTATTAGAAGTTAAACGAATCAAGTATGTAGTAACCCGTAATTTCGGGTAAAACTAGAGGTGCCTAATATTCTCAGGAGGTCGTGTTTTAAGGTATTTAAATCATATAATATCCGTATCATAAGTCTTGAAGTCAAACGAGTTATGAAACAAAAGTCGACAAAAGTTGTCGCAACTTACGTTCATAATTTTACTTAAACTTTAGGTCAAATGTTACTAAGCTTTTCTCCCAATTTGCTTGGAATTACGGGGTGATCTACCCACCAAATTGAAGATCTATGAGTTTAGTTTTCAACGCATTAAACCGTTCATCGATACTACGTCAAAGTAGAGAAATTCACGTTTTCGCTAGACTGCGCAAGCAACTCTTTATGGGACCCACATAGGCAGTTGATATATATATATGCCTTGAGCCCGTTTTAATTCATTCTTTCACACTCTCTTCAGACACTAGACACCTAAAAACTCTCTATCAAGGTTCTCTCATGATCCAAGACCCAAACAAAGGGCAAACAACACAAATCAAGTGTCGGGAATCCCATGGCGCTAGTAAGTTTCTTGTTCTTGTTGTTGCCGATTTTTGTGTGGTTCCAGCTCGTGTGGGATGTTGTTTTAAGTGGTTTAAGTTCTGTAAAATACTCTCTCTCAATTTTTCAATATCAATCCTAGGTGATTTCAAGTCTTCTAAAGTGATTCTAGTGCCGAAAAACCCAAATTGATTGCTAGTTTCGCTTCCTTGTTCTTGTTGCAGCATTGAAAGGATATTTCGTTGCCTTGTTGTATAGTCTCTCATGGCAGCTTGTCAGCTCGTACCTTATATATAGCTTCATGACAGCCTTGTCGGCCCATGTTATATATGTTCATGCCATTATCTATCATTGTTACTTGTTCATGATTCATGTTGATCTTGTCGGCCCTTATAGATAATAAGAAATGTTAGATAAATGTCACAATGGTTCAACAACTGGAATTCCATGTTGCGAGATCAAGTTTTCTTGTTCTTTGTAAGCGAAAAGACCAATAACCAACTGGTTTAACTTCTAACCAAGTTGAAGCCCCTAATTAGATTTTGAATTTTGAGATCCCACCCTTTTGAGTAGCTATTACATTCATATGCGAAGTCTGGTACGGGCTCGCAACTATTATAAATTGGTGTAACATGATACTGTTGTACAAGCTGTCTAATTTAATAGAAGATGAGTTCCAAATAAAGAGATTTAATTTGGTGTGCCTAACTCAACTTCAAAAAGCTAGCTCATGAGGTGAGAATTGCCTAAAACAATATAAGGACACAAAGTTCATATTCCCACAATCATGTCAGATAACCCCGCCACTCGCCCAGGCCTTCAACTGGAGCGTGGACAACATAATATGTGGGTCCAACATCGGGTAAATCAAGAATTAGGATGGGTCTGATACCATGATAAGAAATCTACTTGGGCTTAATTCAATCCCAGAAGCTAGCTCATGATTGTCCAAGATCATATAAGAAGACCAAATACATAAAATCGATTGGGACCACTTAACATTTGAGTTAAATTTTTTAAAATGATAGTGGTATTCGGGCCAGTTTGTGCATAGCTCGGCTATTCTATTGGCTACCTATTACCTCTCACCACTAAGGTACCGGGTAACTTTAACCCTCAAGTTTTAGGCCGTGGAAAAGAAAGCACTAGGAGTTTTTCTTGTCTTTGTTGCAATTTGAAAACCTAACTATCCTTAGTTTCCACCCACTCATTGATCGGTAGGGCACACCTTGTGTTCCGGTTGAGTTGAATATCTACCATACCTAAGGTCCTAAGTCTTGAACTACATATTTTGCCAGAACTAATTGATTAGTAATATGAAGAATTTTAATGTGGTTGAGTAGGGTATCTTCCCATACCTGAAGTCCTAAGTTTTGATATAGTTTCTTATATGACTTGCTAAACTAACTACTTGCTTTGGCTACTTAATTTTTGCAGCACTTCATATGGCTTCGGCGAATGGGCATTATGGCATTGTAGAATATCTTATTCGTAATGGAGCGGTGAGTGGACCAGGCCTCTTATTTGCATTATTACATTACATAGGTGGACATGTCTACTAGTTACATCCTTGTTGATCTGATTTAGTGGTGTCTCTCTTTAATGAATAATCATTGTTCTCCATATATAGGAATTGCATACCTTGAAAAAACTATGATGTCACTTGACTGCATTTCTCGTTGGGCAGGATTTAGTTTTTAAAAATTTGAGCCAGACATTAGGGACTATTTTTTGTATCAAAATTTAGTCTCTTTGGAGTGGAGCTTCAACTTCTCTTATTCTTTGATATGTTTCGATACAATTGAGTGATGAAACATGATTAGTCTAATTCTTGGTTGCAGGATGTCAATGCTTCCAATGTGGAGAAAAATACACCTCTTCATTGGGCTTGCTTAAACGGACATATTGAGGTAACTTTTGCATTACTCTTGGATTATAAGTCCCTATTCCCTAGCATCCCTTAATTTATATGATGTCTTGTTAGGTAGCGAAGAGTTTAATCCTTGCTGGAGCAAGTGTCTCAGCCTTAAATAGGTGATGTATTTCTAACTTAAAGGGCTAACAGATTTTCAGATCAAGTAAGCTTTTGCTTGTGATTTCCTCTCTTTGCTGAGTTCATTGTGCTGTCAGTTTAGTCATGAGAGGACTCCTATCGACGAGGCAGTTAGCAGGGGTAAAATGAACATCATCGATGCCATCAACGAGGCAGTAGCCCAACTTGAACTAACTGGCACCACGGTATCATAAGAAGTCAGAATTATTTGACATCCGAGGATGCAAACGTCTTGGTGGTGGTTACTTTGTTCAGTGTTTTCTAATAACTTAAAATAGCCTTCCTACAAGTATTATGTAACGTTTGAACTTCAAATGTTCTCCCATGTCATATTTGGTGACAAGTTGACAATATCAAATGATGCATACTCTAATAGTGTAGTATCAATAGCCTCACCTTTTATCGAGTTATTTCTGCAAAGATAGCGTTTCTTTAATCAGTTCGGCAGTTGAGGTGAATCCTTGACAACTATCATTGGATTGTGAGCTATATAGCATAACTTGTTCCTAATTCATGTCCCAGTTAGTAATTTAAACTTTTCTGTTTGGTTCATTGAGAATGGTCATCTTCTCAAACATTGGAAACCAACAATAGGCAGGTTTCTTCAAGTGGACAAGTTTGAGCAATGATTTGATGAATGACAAAAGGCTACGGGAGAAGATGATAAACATATTAGCAATTATGGTAGTGGCAGTATGGCTTAATATTTAAGGACTCTCATTGAAAATTTTAAACCTCCCTCAGAGGCGGATTCAAAATTTAAATTGAATGAGTTCAGTTTTGTTGGTCCTCACTGGTGAATTCATTGCATATTTTGAATTATGGTCCATATTTATTGAGATTTTAGTGTTTTTTCACATATATTTATGCTCAAGGTAAATAACGCAGTCGACCTCCTTAGCCATGTATATTGACAATGCTACAATTTGCATTCACTTACTTATTTGGTCATCTGTGTCATTTGGACAACTTCTTGAATTCTAATTTATCTGGATGTAACATTTTAGGCTTCATTAATCTGGTGTTGTGGTTTGTATGTAGATAACAAGTCACCACTCACAAAACTGGTAATTTCAGAGGGATTGCAGAGTTCACTGCATGAATTCAGTGCAAAAAATAATTGTTTTTGGTATTGGAGCAAAAGAATTAACAAAGCAGAATGATGATAGAGGAAGAATAATCTTTTGACTTTCTTTTCTAGTTTCTGTGCTGTGAAAAAACACCCTGATCAGTTGGCCTCTCTGTGAAATAGAACCAAAATGGCCTGTAAATAACTTGAATGTAATGTTTTATCATCAAAATTGAAATGAAAAAAAAGGGCAGCCCGGTGCACTAAGCTCCCCCTATGCTCAGGGTTCGGGGAAGTACGCAGTCTTACCCTGCATTTCTGCAAGAGGTTGTTTCCACGGTTCAACCCGTGATTTCCTGATCATATGACAACAACTTTACCGGTTACGCTAAGACTCCCTTCTCGAAATTGAAATGACTTATCAATAAACCTTTTTGGTAGCAAAAAGCAGCAGGAAATGGAATATCATCAGTAAAGAAATTTCAGCAAGTATATGGATGCAGGATTTGCAGTATTCTTGTTTCATAGATACTTGGGGCTCAACTACAAGAATAGCTTTACATAACAGGAAAATACATGAAGAGTACTATAAATCGCGAAATCCCCCCCACCCCACCCCACATCTATACATGGTTGTTGGTGACAATGGTATATAGTTTCCAAAGGTTGATGAGATAGTAATTTTTTTCTTTGTGATACTATGAGCATGAGGTCACAATTCAACAAGTAATTCTACAGTTTGAGGAGTGACTCACTGCTTTAAAATGGGCAAATCTCTGTTAGTTCTTGCACCAACACAATGTAGTTTTTCCATTGTCAAATCACTTTATATAATACACCATACAGTTGGTATCTACAAACGGAAAACAACTCATGTTGCACCAAAACTTTCTTGCATCCATTTTGCTTGAATTTGCAGTCCTGCATCCCTCAGAGAATTCAAAGCTGATCTATGAAGTCTCCCATCTAACTTTGTGCCTTCTCTCTTCATATTTTGCAAAAGACCAATCAACTCATCAACTCTATTCATTTTAGAGAAAACACCAACCATAATCCCAGCCATTGCCCTATCAATTTTTCCGCCGTTTAGTGTAAATTCTTGGTAATATGTCAAGCACTTGTCAAATTCTCTTGCCCTGCTATAAGCACTTATAATGCTTGTGTAACTTACCCTATCTGGAAAAATTTTCCTTCTCTTCATCTCCTTCCATATTTTTTCCACTTGCCTTAAGTTAAGAACTTTTCCATGAATGTCCAAAAGTGCATTGTATACCCACACATTTGGTTGACATCCTCTTTCTTTCATTTTTGCAACAAGTTTCATTGCATCTTTAGGTCTACCTGTTTTTCCATACATTGCAATCATGCTAGAATAAGCCACTACACATTTATCAAACCCCTTTTGCTCCATCTCAGAAAATACCATTTCTGCATTAGAATACAATCCAAGCCTACAATATAAGTTCAATACTGAAGCATATGTTACTTGACCTGGTTCACAGCCTTGTGAACAAAGATCTTCATACACTTTAACTGCAGATTTCAGACCTCTTTTTCTTGAAAAGCCATTCACTATTGCACAAAATATGCAATCAGAGACTCGAATTTTTACCCGAGCCATCACTGCAACAACATCAAGAGTCTTTTCCATCAACCCCTCTTCAATATACATCAATACTAGTTTCAAGAACAAAGCTGGATCCCTCAGCATTCTCTTGCCTTCAGCTTCTTCTAAAAGTTCCTCAGCCATTTTCACTTCACAAATGCTCGCGAATCCACATATAAGTATGGAATAAAATGAATGATCCTCTTGAATTCCCTTCTTGTTCATGTCTCTAAAGTACTCCAAAGCCTCAAAAGCGCGCCCCGATTTCCCTAATGACTCACACAGATTCTTGTAAATTTGTGCATAATAAGGTGTGGACACTACTTTCTTGCTCTCAAATTCTTGAAAAAGTGCCACAACTTTGTCACAATGCCCCATTTTTAAATGTGCTTCCATTATACTACAATAACAGCCAGGGTCTAATACAAGTCCAGCAGATCTCATTCTTTCATACAAAACAACACTGCTGCTATACATATGCAACTTATTGTAGCCTTTCATAGCAGAATCAAAGGCCAAAACAGAAAGTTCTTGATCATAAAGTATAAACACTTCAAGCAAATTATTTACAATCTTGAATTTTCTTGCTTTTATGCAGCTAGTAATCAATTTACAGCATGTTGAACTATCAGGCAATATTTGAGAACTTCTCAAATCTTCACACAATGAAATAATTGAACCCCATTTATTTGAATACACCAAATACCTGATAAGAAGCTTTAGTGTTGATTTTTCAGGTCTAAAATCTGTATTTTCCTTGGCTTTTTCATAGTAATCATATCCAATTCCTTGAGTTTGAGGATCTTTAAGTAAACTGCATATTAAACCATTCAAATCCTTGGAATCAGTCAAACAAGTAGAAGTAGTAGTACCATTTGTGGTAGTTGTTGTATAATCTTGAAGTTCTAAATCCAATTCTATTATTTTGGAATTTTTTGAGGGTATTTTTTGGCTTTTTTCTTCTAGGACAGGAGATGAACAGCTAGAGGATTTAGCAACCAGAGTTCTTGAATTAAAGTAAATATTTGAGAGGAAAGGTAGAGTTTTACAAGAATAGCATATTTTTGGTTTCAAAATTCTGTTTTTACAGTTAATACAAGGTGGAAATGACCAGTCTGAAGATTTGGCTATAGCCATTGAAGAAGAATTGAACTGAAAAAGAGAAATGAGTAGAGATCTTTGTATTTGCATTATGTACGTAGGAAAATTGTAAAAACATTATCAGTTCCAGATTGTGCCATGCATGTGGCTTGTACTGACCACTTGTTGTTTGACACGTGTGTGGTTATGGACTTTAGACTTATCACCGTAGATTTCAGCCACATAATTTTTGTATATGCAAAATGAAAATCAAGCTGCAAATATTGTTGAATTTAGCCAGGTCAATGGCGTGGGTACACAGTAAATATTAAATAACCTCCTGTTTATGTTAAATTAAGCAATTTAATCTTAATAATTAAAACTAAATGAAGACACAAACACACACACATATATATATATATACACACAACAAACACTTGTCTTATTTTTATTTAGTTGATGTAAATAATTAAATATTGAGTGCGAGTAAGTTTTAACTTGGGAGACTACCTCTATTGCACTTGAATAAGGATTGGAAAGTAGTCCAACTAGTCACACTTACATCATAATGGAGATTTACTTCAAATATTTGCCGATGAAATTTTTAAAAAATTTAATCACCTGGAATCATATAAATTTTGACTTTTAGCGAATCGCACAATAAATTTTCAATAAATTTCTTGTTGATTGTTCCGTCCCTAAACTTTATGTTAGGGAACTGTATTTATTTTTATTCATGATTGCTCATCTTGAGTCTCTATACTATGTTACATCAAATAGGAGTGAAGGAATAGATATTGACCTAATCATCAAATTAATATAAGTCATCTTGACTAGCCAATGTAGCATATATTCATTTTAGGAATTGGACAAACGCCAATTTATAATAAAACTTTTTGTTTTTTTATAATTGTGGTGTCCAGCTTGCACGCACCTCGACTAATTCCACGGGATACCTGCTCCACCAAGGCTTGGATAGATGGGGATAAATCACCTAGTATTTTTGCCTCCGCTAGAATTTTGAACCTGAGACTTCATGGTTCTCACCCGCTTTATTGATCACTAGATCACACCCTTAGATGCTATTTAAAAACTTTTTTTTAATGATATTGTACAAATGAATGGAATATTATATCACACCCTTAGATGCTATTTAAAAACTTTTTTTTAATGATATTGTACAAATGAATGGAATATTATATCTCACCCTTAGATGCTATTTAAAAACTTTTTTTTAATGATATTGTACAAATGAATGGAATATTATATCTCACCCTTAGATGCTATTTAAAAACTTTTTTTTAATGATATTGTACAAATGAATGGAATATTATATCTCACCCTTAGATGCTATTTAAAAACTTTTTTTTAATGATATTGTACAAATGAATGGAATATTATATCTCACCCTTAGATGCTATTTAAAAACTTTTTTTTAATGATATTGTACAAATGAATGGAATATTATATCTCACCCTTAGATGCTATTTAAAAACTTTTTTTTAATGATATTGTACAAATGAATGGAATATTATATCTCACAATGAGAACAAAATGTAAAAGTTAAGTTTTGAAGTGCAATTCAAATAAAAGGTGCATTTAAATAATATATAGAATCATATGTATCCGAACTCCCCCTTTCATCATATGCATGGTGATTTAATGTGGTAAAGAAAACCTTTAATTTGTCGGAGAACTAAAAATTAATTGTACTTGGAATTTGATATAAAAACTTGATAACTTGGAAAGATTAGATGCATTATTATCATCATATGTCGCTAAACATAACAAATAATAACATTTCACACAAACTAAAAAAGCTTGAACAAGATTGTTACAACATTTCACACAAACTAAAACTTTTTTTTAATGATATTGTACAAATGAATGGAATATTATATCTCACAATGAGAACAAAATGTAAAAGTTAAGTTTTGAAGTGCAATTCAAATAAAAGGTGCATTTAAATAATATATAGAATCATATGTATCCGAACTCCCCCTTTCATCATATGCATGGTGATTTAATGTGGTAAAGAAAACCTTTAATTTGTCGGAGAACTAAAAATTAATTGTACTTGGAATTTGATATAAAAACTTGATAACTTGGAAAGATTAGATGCATTATTATCATCATATGTCGCTAAACATAACAAATAATAACATTTCACACAAACTAAAAAAGCTTGAACAAGATTGTTACAACTTTGTTGACGTGACCATAAAAGGAGATAATATTTTTATTTATTAACTAGGGACAATATTAAAACCTTCTTCAGATTAGGTTTCACAATGCTAACCTCCCATGTAACTTTACAATATTACATTTGCCTCCTTATCTCAATTTTTGTGTATCAACACTATATATCAGTGACGGGACCATGAAACATATGTAGATGTAAAGCTTGATGCTCAAGTTATCCCCAAGAGAACAAGTGTCAAGTATCTCGGGTCTATTATCTGGCCTGGTGCTGCTGACGGACAAAATGACAGTCAAGTTCAATGTGCTTAGTATGCTCGTGAAAAATCGGGTTTTTGGCAATATGGATCGCCGCCTGGTTGTCAGAATGAAGAGGAATGGGCAAAACCAGCGGAATCAAGAGGTCATCGAGGAGATGGACCAACTAGGTGAGCTCAGCCACGACACGACGCATGGAGCGGTACTCAACTTCAGCGAAAGATAGCGAGACTGATAGTTGCTTCTTAGATTTTCAAGAAATGGGACAACCACCAAGGCTAACAAAGAAGCCACTAATAGAGCGGCGCGAATCAGGGCAAGAACCCCAATCGGAATCACAGAAGGCAAGCAAATCCAAAGAAGGATAAGGAGACATGAACAGACCAAGACCAGGGTCCAAAAGCAAATAGCGTAGACAGTGATGAGCAGCTTGGAGATGAAGATCACGAGGAGCCTGCATAAATTGGCTTAAATGCTGAACGGTAAAAGAAAGATCAGGACATGTATGCGTCAAAAAATTGAGTTTGCCCAGAAGTCAGACGGTATAAAGTAGGATCAGAAAGGGGAATCCCATGGTCAGCATGCAACTTGATAGAAGGATCCAACGAGGAACTGGCCAGCGACAAATTAAGACACCCAAACTCCTCCAAAAGGTCGAGTAAATTTTCGTTGACCGAGAATGATGCCAGAATCCTCACGAAGGACTTCCATGCCCAGAAAAAAAGTTAAGTTTCCTAGGTCCTTAATCTTGAATTCACTGTGTAAGAAGGCTTTTAAGTCATGTAATTCTTCAACATAGTTCCCCGTAAGCAAGATGTCATCAACGTAAACAGCCACCAAAGAGATAGAGAGACCGGACCTTTTGTAGAATAGGGAATAGTCGTTCATAGAATGAGTAAACCCTTTAAAGTTCAGAGCTGCAGTTAAACGAGCATACAACTGGCGAGAAGCCTGGCGTATATTATATAGAGACTTCTTAAGTCGGCAAATAATATTAGGAGCAGCAGGTGTAAGGCCTGCCGGAAATTTCATATAGACCTCTTCATGGAGGTCACCATGAAGAAACACATTGTTCACATCTAACTGAAAGAGTTCCCAATTCTTTTTGACTGCCAAAGCTAGGATGCAACGTATGGTGGTCATTTTGACCACCGGAGAGAAGGTTTCTGTAAAATCAACGCCTTCCCTCTGTATATCACCACGAATCACAAAAGAGCCTTCATTCGATCCACACTCCCATCAGATTTCAATTTAACCTTATAGACCCACTTAGATGGTAGGGCCTTTCTATCAAGGGGCAAAGGAACCACCTCCCAAGTATCATTGAGCAACAAAACATCAAGTTCTTTGGCCATAGCTTCTTGCCAACTAGGGTGCATAGCTGCCTGGGAATAACTAGACGGTTCTTGGATATGGGTAGAGAATTAAGCAACTTCTTATTAGAGGAAAATAAATCATTGAAAGAAAATTGCAAAGGGGAAATAGGGGAAAGAAAACAAAAAGTAGAAACAACATCTAAATGCACAGCATTACATACATAATCAGCTAAGTAGGAGGGAGTTTTGCGATCCCTGAAAGACCTGCGCAAAGCAGTCTGTAGAGAGTCAGGAGAATAGGAAGAAGCATTAGAAAAAGGAGAGGGACTAGGTAACAAGAGAGGAAGATGAACCAGAAGAAGAGAAGATAGGAGGGGAACTAGGTGAAGGAGAGGAAGAAGGAATAGAAGAGGACTGAGGAGGAGAACTAGGAGTAGTAGTAGGAGACTGAGAAGCAGAAGGGACAGAAGTAGAAAGAATAGGTATAGGGGGAGAAGGATAACTAGGGGAGACTGAGATATGAGGTGTAGTACTAGGAAACAAAGGTGAAGATTCAGTGTTTAAGATAGAGAATGGAAAGATTTTCTAATGAATAACAACATTTCTGGAGACAAAGATGTGATTGGTAATTAGGTTTAAGAGTTTGTAACCAAGAAAAACACAAGCATCAGCTCTAGGATCAAGTTTCCCTCTATGGTGAGCCAAAGTAGAAGTAAAGCATAGGCAGCCAAAATATTTTAGAAAAGTGTAATCAGGAGGCTTGTGAAATAAAATTTCATAAGGTGTTTTATAGTGAAGAAGCTTGGTAGGAAATCTGTTGATGAGAAAAGTAGCAGTAAGTAGACATTCTCCCCAATAACAGATAGGCACTTTAGAATGAAACAAGAGGGCTCTAAAGGTTTCTAGCAAATGTTTGTGTTTTCTTTCAACAATACCATTCTGTTGAGGAGTTCCTACACAAGAGGTTTGGTGTATAATCCTTTTAGAAAGAAAATAAGATGTGACTGCAGTGCTGCTACCTAGTTCAAAGGCATTATCAGATCTAATTTTATTGACTTTGGTGTCAAATTGTCTCTCTACCATAGAAATAAATGATTGTAACACAGTAAAGCCATTGCTTTTAGTGCCTAGGAGAAAAGTCCATGTGCCTCTACTATAGTCATCCACTATAGAAAGAAAAAAATCTGAAACCATCATGAGTAGGGACTTTATATGGTCCCAAGTATCTATGTTGATTAGCTCAAACACATGAGAGGTATAACTGGTGCTATTGGAAAAAGGTAACTTGTGTTGCTGGGCCATAGGGCAAATAGAACAAGAGAAAGGATTATCACTGGAACATTGTTGTTTACAAATGGGAATATATCTCATGGTAGATATAGGTAAATGACCCAACCTTACATGCCAAAGATTATCACATGAAGCAGTAGAACTAGACATAGAAGAATGTAAAATATCAAACTTGGACAAAGTGTTACAACTATGTTTAATAGCTGAAGTTTTATTATCTATGTGCAGGGAATCAGCAGGAAGATGAACAGAATGCAAAAGGTAGAGCCCAGCCTCGATTTCACCAAGAACCAGAGGCTTCCTCAAGGAAAGGCCCTGCAAGAAACAGGTAAAATCACTGAAGGTAAGAATAGGATGAAACCGATCACATAATCGATGAACAGAAATAAAGTACTGCCCACATAAAGTACTGTTTGTAGAGTTAATAAAGAGTAAACTGTCACTTGTCCTGCATGAGTGACTCCAACTCTCTGGGAATTAGGTAGAGTAACATTGATAGGACTAGACAAAGTAATGACATTGGACATAATGGTGAAATTAAAGCTCGTGTGCTCGGAAGCTCCCAAGTCAATGATCCAAAAGTGGTTCTTAGAAGATGTAGAAGGATGAGTAAGAATAAGTAGGAATGTACCAGCACAATTGGCAACAACACTAGCCTCAAAAATAGGAGCTTTTTGGCCAATTTTAACTTGTAGCTCCATCAGTTGTGTAAGTTGTCCCTGATTTATACCAATAGTAGCTTCAGTCTCGGAGATGTTGGTTTGAAACTGCCCAGGTCCTTCATCTGAAAATACTGCATTCCCTTGAATTGAATATTGAAACTTGTTCTGTCTATTAGAGTTTTTGAATGTCCGTGGATAACCATGCAACTTGAAATATTTATCAATGGTATGTCCTTCCTTCTTGCAGTAGTTACAAAATAGAGTCTTCCTATATTCCTGATTGTTCTTGGAAGGCTGTGTTCCTACCATATTACCTCAATAAGTATTTGGATTTCCATATCTCTGTTTGTTCTGATTAAAATTCTGCCCAGGTACAGCAAAAGAACTGGATTCAGTGGGATATTGAGCCATGTTTTGGATGCTCCTCTACCTTTCCTCTTGAAGAAGAAGGTAATATGCTCTATCAATTGTTTTGAGTGTTGCATCATCATTATGTTTCCTGNATCTATATTGAATGTCAAGCTCAATTTAAATACAAGTCTTTCTAAAAGTACTCCTTGAATTAGAAGACTTATTCAAATCAAAACACTATCAAAAGCTAACTAACTAAATGATAAATATGAATTAAAATGATAACTCTAAATCTATATCTAATCTAAGGATAAGCATGAAGGCTAAGTAATCATAAGGGATAAACAATTGTTGTTCCAATACGCCCCCCTCAAGTTAACCGATGTGTCACTAAGCCTAACTTGAACAGATTTCGTTCAAAGGCTGATTTGGCAAATGGTCTGGTGAGTGTATCAGCTAGTTGGTCAGCAGAATGAACATGAACGACTTGAACCACCTTTTGTTCAATATGGTTGCGCACAAAGTGAAAATCCACCTCAACATGCTTCATGCGACTATGAAGACCCTAATTCTCACTTAGGTAAGTGACACTAATGTTGTCACAATAGATTGTAGGGGTGTCACTGACTGGAAGCTTCATCTCAAGTAATAGGTTTCGCACCCACAACAGCTCCGCAAGAGCATTGGCAACAACTCTATGTTCAGCTTCAGTTGATGAGCGAGCTATATTTTTCTGCTTTTTTGAAGACCAATTGATATAATTTCGACCAAGAAACAAAATATAGCAAGATGTGGAAGATCTGTCAGTGAGATCTCTAGCCCAGTCGGCATCAGAATACATATGCAGATTAAAATCAAGATTTGAGGACACACGTAGGCCAAACTGGATAGTACCACGAAGATACCTAAGAACACGTTTCACAACTTTCCAATGTAGGTCTGATGGTGATTGCATAAACTAGGACAGTTTGTTAAGCGCATAGGAAATGTCTGGCCTTGTAAAAGATAGATATTGAAGTCTGCCTAGTACTCGGAGATAGTGAGTTGCATCTGTAAGTTGAGCCCCATCATTGAGGTTGAGTAACTCAGAGTTACTCATTGGTGTTTTAGCACTTTTGCAATCAGACATCAATTCTATAATTTCATTGACATAATTTGCTTGAGAGAGGATAATGTCATCAGAACTTGGAATCACCTCAACACCAAGAAAACAGTAAAGGTTTTCCAAATCTTTAATTGAAAAGCAAGAGGCAAGAGAAGCTATAAACTCATTCACAGTAATAAGGTTGCTGCCGATGACGATGATGTCGTCAACATAAACCAGATGAACATGAAACTAGTGTTGTTGATCCTAATGAATAAGGAGTTATCAGATTCAGTCTTGATAAATCCCATGTAGAGAAGATGGCCTTTGAGTGAATTGTACCAAGCCCGAGGCGCGTGCTTCAGGCCATAAATTTCCTTGCGCAACTTATAAATATGAGTCAGATTATTGTCACAAACAAAACCCGGAGGTTACATCATGTAAACCTCCTCTTCAAGGTCATCTTGAAGAAAGGCATTGTTGACGTCGAGCCGGCGAAGAGGCCAATGAAACCGGAGGGCAACATCAAGGATGATTCGGATAGTTGTGGGTTTGACTACCAGACTGAAAGCCGAGTGAAAATCAACACCCGGCCTCTGAGTAAATCCTTTGGCAACCAATCTCGCTTTGTAGCGATCAACCGACCCGTCTGCTTGTTTTTTTTAATCCTGAAAAGCCACTTACAAGAAACAACATTTTTAGAAGGATCATTTGGAACGAGTTCTCAAGTACGGTTAGTCGGTAAAGCACCAAATTCTGATTTTTTAGCTTTTCTCCACTCAGGGTGTTTCTCGGCTTATTTAAAGGATGTGGTACAAGTGAGGTTTCTAAGTGGGCGAGGTAGTCAAAAATTCTGTTGTTGGTTTCTGATATTATTCTGAGAGCGAGTGATTATGCGATTGGGAAGGGACGGGCAGTGGGGTACAATAGGTTCGACTGGTAGTGCCGCTAGGTTGTTGCTGGTTCGAACAGAGGTAGCAGGGGGATGAGCCATGTTTTTGGGTTGGGGTGTTCTACGATGATATACTACGAGTGGTGGAGAGGTTTGTAATGGTTTGGATGTAGAATTCGGTGAATTTATAGGGTTGTTGAGGGGTGGTGGGTGAAGAAGTTGGAAATGGACAATTAGACTCTCCTAGGCAGTGGGAATTATAGAAAAAGGAGGAGATTGAAGCATACCTTGAGTAGAAGTGTGTGGAGAGCCGAAATCCGCTTCTGCCACTGCCGCATCGGAGATGGATAACTGTAAAGGGGTTTCTGTTGGGTTAGGAGGAGAAGTCTTCGTGGGGGATTAGATTCTACAACTACTGAATTAGGAGGATTCTCAGTGGGTATTTTAATTGAATGGGGCAACTCTGCAATAATGGAAATATTAGGGATGGGGGTAGGTGAATTAACAATTCTAATATTTGCCCATTCCAAGTGAGTTGTTTTAATTGCAATATTAGAGAATAAATTTTTGAATGGAAAATTATTCTCAACAAATTACACATCTCGCGATAAATAAATTTTTTGACGAGATTGGATCAAAGCACTGGTGGCAGTGATGGGTCAAGGAAAAACCAAGATAAATACATGGGATGAATTTTGGTTCAAATTTACTTTTGGAGTATGATTTGAGCCATGGATAACATAAACATACAAAAATTCGCAGGGAAGCATAGTCATGTGCCTTGCCAAATAATTTTTCAAATGGAGAATTATTATTTAAAAGTATTGTGGGTAGTCGATTAATTAAATAAACCGCATAGTGACATGCGAAGGACCAAAAATGTGATGGAAGAGACGCCTCATGTAAGATAGTTCTTGCAGTTTCAATAGTGTGGCAATGTTTGCGCTCAGCAAGAGCAACTCTTTGAGGTGTATAGGGTGGGGTGGAAAGATATTCAATACCCTAAAGTGAAAGATAAGTGTCAAGACTTTTATACTCTTCTCCACATCAGTATAAAGCGATAAAATTTTGGTATCGAAATATTTTTCTATCAAATGATGGAATACTTGAAAAATGTCTCTAACTTCAGATTTTATTTAAGTGTGTACAGCCAAGTGTATCTTGTGTATTGATCAATAAAAATACAGTAATATAATTTTTTATCAAGAGATAACACAGGAGAGGAACCCATAAATCACTAAAAATAATTTGAAGAGCCTTAGAGCTTTCTAGAGTTAATTTGTGAAACGGGTGCCGATGGACTTTATTGGACAAACAATAATTTCAATAAAGAAACTTGTCTCTCTCAACAAACGAGAGCGAGAATTTATTCAAGACATATGTAAGAACTCTAGAGTACGGATGACCCAGTCTTTGGTGCCAAGTGGTCAGGAAAATTGCATTGGTAGATATGTGAGCTTGTGGATGTGAAGTGGACCACTCATACAGTCCATTTTTTATCCGACTGTGCGCCAATGGTGTCTGCATTTTCAGATCCTTCACAAGAAAAGAGAAAGAAAAGAATTCAAGAGACGTTAGATTGTCCTGATAGAATTTGGAAACAGAAATAAGATTGTGTTTAATAGCCGGAGCACAAAGAGTGTGAGTTAGCTTAAAAACATTATTTGATGCATTTAACTGAGTAGAATCGATATGTGAGATGGAATTTTGTTACCATCACCCATGGAGACATCCTCGTTTCTGTGGTACGGTTGTAGGTTGTGAGGTTCAGTGGTGATATGGTGTGTGGCACCAAAGTTGACTATTCACGGGTCAGCAATGGTGTTGAAGCCTATGATATAATTGGCTTTGGCCTCAAAGTGATTGTATGACTTGGATCGACACACATTTATAACATGGCCAATCTTGTTGCATAATTGACAACGAATAACACTTGTTGTGTTATTGTGTGAGGGTTGCCACTAGATGGATGTATTGGAACGGTTGTTCTATCGCCATGGTTGAGAGTTGTTGTTGTAGGATTGACGACGGTTGTTGCGATTGTTGGAATTGTTGTTCGATTTGTTGTGAGTGGCAACCGCTGCTGTGATAGGATTGTGGGTTTTCTTAGCTTCCTCGTGACGAATATAGAGCTCATGGTCAAGCAGTTTTTCATATAGTTCTTCATAGGTGATTGTGGTGTCACGTACTCGTATGTCAGCCGAGATCTCACGAAACTCAGGGCCAAGTCCACTTAGGATTTTGACGATAAGTTCAGAGTTAGTGACCGGGGCACCTACTGTGGCAAGTTCATCTAAAAGGGACCGAATACGCTGAGGGTACTCGGTAATGGGAATGGTGTCTTTAGTGATTCGTGCATGCTGATCACAAAGACTGAAGATCCGAGTTTGGGACTTGTTTGCATAAGCAGTGTGCAAGGAGTCCCAAGCCTGTTTGGATATGTTGGCAGCAGCAACCGTTGAGGCAATTGTAGGCTCAACAGACGCCATAAGGGCATTCTGGATAAGTTGATCCTGGCGGAACCAAAGTGTATACACAGGGTTGGGGGTTGTGTTGGACAAAAAGTAGTGCTCGGGGTGGAAATAAGAGTAGAACATCTTGGTGACCATAGAGGTCATGGCCGTGCATAAGCATGGAGAACTGAGTTTCCAAGTGGCAAAATTGTGACTGCCACTAAGTTTGATTGGTAGTTGAAAAGCGGGGTTGAATTGAACTATGGTTGTAGTACCAGTGGTGTTGTCGTCATTGACAACTCTGGGAGTGGTTCGATCTTTCGTCGTTGGAGAAGAAAAAATATAGGAATCTTGCTCATTAGAGTTGTATAGGCTCAAATACCATATGAACAATTAAAGATATGATAGAAAACTGTATTTTTATTGAATGTCAAGCTAAGTTTAAATACAAGTCTTCCTCAGAGTACTCCTAGAATCAGGAGACTTATTCAAATCAAAACACTATCAAAAGTTAACTAACTAAATGATAAATATGATCTGGAAGGATAAATCTAAATCTATATCTAATCTAAGGATAAGCATCAAAGATAAGAATTAATCCTAAAAGATAACAACGGATAACAACTTTTGTTCCAATACTGCTTTTGGTTGAAAACACCATAGGCTTCTCCAATAGATATACTAAAGAGATTCCTGCACAAAATTTACAGCTTTAGATGAAGCTTTCATAAAGAAAGTCAAGTAGTGCTATGGAAAAAGCATTCGATGGACAACAAATAATTGTTGAGCTCCACAAGATGAAATCCCAACATCATGTTGACTGTTGGTTTAGGAGAAATAACATGGAAGGTATATATTATAGTTATATTACATATTTCAAATAAGGAAAGATTTTATACCAGGTAAAAAAATTTAATTGAATTCAACTCCTAAATATTTAGGACTTCTTATATTGTTCAAACAAGGATAGCTTTAAAACCAAAATATTAGTTTATTTTAAAGTCAAAATTCTTATAAAAATAATTAAATGCTAATTTTGTCTAATATAATCTAGTTTTTGAAAGGTGAAAAGAGGTTGTTCAATTAATTTACTTGTTGCTAGAAGTCCTTCCATTTGAAGCAGTAATGCTATCTTTTCCACTTAAACTTTTTGTGTGGAATATATTGAAATATCTAAAAGGTTCTTAGTGTGCATATTAAAAATGTCTAAAAGCTTATTAGTTTGTTGTACTTATTTGTATTAAAAGTATGAAAATATAATAATTCAAAAGGTGTTAGTCCATAGTAATATAGCTGATAATATTTGTATATTATAGAACAAATATAAATACTCTTGGCCAGAGGCGGACCGAGCATTTGAGCAAGACGGAATCACCATTATATGCTAATTAATAGCGATAAAATTTGACGGACAACTTTTTAAAAACTCAATGATTATGATGACTTATCATCCAAGTACAAATAAAAAGAAGTTCTAAAGAAATAAAAAGCATCGAACAAAGAAAGATTTCTTCGCAAATAGGTGCTATGGAAAGGAAAAGTACTTGATTTAAGACTGTTTTAAACTTTAAAATTTCTAGCTTTTTCTCAATTAAAAAAAGTATCTATGATCAAAAGGGTGTTCAAACTTCAAATATTATCAGAAAAACTTACTAAAGAAATCAAGATTAAGGGTGTGCTAATAGTCAAAGAACATAAGAAAAGCCTCAAACTCTTAATTAGATATCATTACCGAGTTAGAGTTGACGGATATCCGCTACTTTGTCAAAGTGATTGTTGAAGAAAGTTGTGGCAGAAGGATTTGTATTTTTCTACTTCTAAAGCGCGATAAATTGCAATTTGAGGCTTTTAATTTTAAGGGAGGGATTTGAAAAGGAATAAAATTAAGTAAGTTGACTATTATATATTAAAATTAAACTATAATTGAATTCAAAAAAAGATAAAAGTAAAAAGTGAAGAAGTTTGGTATTAAATACAAATTAGTTGAATTCAAAAGAGGTATAATAAAAAGGTGAGGAGAAAGTGGTGAAAATGGGATTGGAACCCACGACCTCTAGCAAAACTGAAAATTTAAGCACCCCAAAAAACCACTCCTCCACTCTGCCTCTTTGTGGCTAGGGGCACACGAAAATTATTTAAGGAGTCCTAGCTGTATGTAGAAATATATATAAGATATTTACAGGATTTTTGTCGAGGCTAACGGGTCCCATAACTATCAACTTAGGTCCACCTCTGCTCTTGGCTAAAAAAAATAGTAAAGTAAAATCTAAATATATTGTGTTTTTTCCCTTGCCTGTTTCACATCTCCACTCTTAATATTGTAGATTGTAATGTCCTAAAATATAGGACTTCCAACGTATTTCGTTTAAATAAAGAAGTTTTTGAATAATAAAATATATAGTTGTTGTCAAAATTATTTTCAAGATCTAAATGTTAGAAAAATAATCATATGATAGTTTTGTCCAATATGAAATTAATTTTTAAGGGTAACAAAAACGAATGACATTTCGCTAAAGGCCTTCGTGCTTTTAATATAAATATAGATATTGCTTCGGACGTATCCGAAGGTCCCCCTTCCATTTTCGAACTCTAATAATTTATAATTTGCTTTTTCTCTCTCTTTAAACTAGTCTCTTTAGAGCGGTAAAATTGTATTTAAGGGTATATTATTTCAAAAAAACATTTTCCTTTCCACGCAAACTTTAAAATAAGCATCAATAACATTAGATGCATTCTTATCATCCTATGTCTAGAGCTGTCAAAACGAGCTAGCCCAGCCCAATTCAGCCCAAGTCTCGTGGACTTTTAAATTTGGTGGGCTAGGCCGGACCGACCCTTCATCTATATGAGCCTTAAAATGGACAGTTCAGCCCAGCCCTAAGAGGGTCGCGGGCTAGGGCGGGTCGGCTCTTCAATTTCTTTAGAAAAAAATATTTCTTTAAATATTTTTTCGTAACATAATCTCTTAATTATATGAACAGCTTCTGTTTATTTAGAGTGTACAAGAATCTTGATATTTGACAAGGAATCTCGTAATTGAAATGCAAATTCTCTTTATCTCTAGCTCTTCTTTTTTTAGCGTTACATGAATATTTTTTTAGTACTTTTCTTTCACTTTCCTTAGGTTCACGAATTGCTTCGATAAGTTTATATGTTAAGGTTTTATAATTTAGGTTTAACATTATTTGTTGATTTCATCATTATAGTCCATAAAGTTTTTAAAATTCATGAAATTTGTTAGTGTTGTTAATTTTTTTTTTTTTGGTATTAAAACTTGACCTTTTACTATACTAAAGAGCAATTTAATAATTAATAATATATTAAAGTAATCAAACTAATCATTGGCCACTTAAAGTAATATTTTCTTTTGAAAAAAATTATTATTGACCACTTAAAACTTTCGTAGTTCGTTGTTAATTAAGCAAAAGAAAAACTAATCTTGTCATACTACATGCATATCAAAAATATAAATTCTAGTTGATATGGAAGGATAAATGAGCAATCTAAGTTTGGAAAATAGGGATTATAGTTAATATTTTTTTTTTAGTTTTTATTTTTTTTAAATATTTAAGTTTGAATTTAATTAATTTTTGGCCCACGGGCCGCCCCAGGCCCAGCCTCGGTCAAGCCTCAAGGGCCAGCGGGCTGACTTAGGCCGGGCTTATAAGTCTCACTTTTAAGTGAGCTAAAACAATCTTAACCCAGCCCTACCCAAATAGCGGGTTGGGTTGGGCTGGCTCACGGGGCCAAGCCCATTTTAACGGCTCTACCTATGTCACTAGACAAAGCAAATAATAATATGTTAAAATGGCATGGCGTAGCCATTTTTACGGTTGGCTATCGAAAAATAGCCACCAATCTAAATGTAATCGATTTCTAGCCATTTTAACTTAAAATACATTGGTAAATGACATAATTGCCCTTGACCTTTTAACATACTGTTTAGTTACTTTTTATCGCCTTTCTCTTTATTTTTACAGCAGTGTACGGAGTTCGCTTTCGTGAGAGAACACTTTTCTTCGAATCTTGTCTGGGTTAGGTCCAATTTTCTTCAAATTATGGGTGAGTTTTGGTTTTACGATAATGTATTTGAATTTTTGTTGTTATTGTTGGTTCTTTAGGTTTAAGTTTGATTTCCGTACCGTTAGGGTTTAATATTTGTTGTATTTTAACTTTTACGTTTTTTTCTTTATTCAATAGTTTGTCTTATTTCTGGTAATTTTGTCACTCTATTATTAGTTTTATGTTGTAATCGTTGTGTAATTTGTTTTTATAAGCTTTTCAAAAAAAATTCTAGTCTTTGTATATTAGGGTTAATTTTCAAGTATTTTCATGCTTCATTTGCATTTTAGATTTCTCCAGTTCTTGTTAAATATGGTTTAGTATTTTATACGGGAAATCTGTATTCTAAAGGCTTGTTTCCCAGTTTTTTATACTGTGTGGTTTTTGATTATGTTTTTTGTTTATTAAATTTACTAAAATTTTGTCCAGTATATTATACTGGAAGTCTGTCATGTGAATGTTTGGTTTCTAGTATGTTATACCGGATGAATATTATAATATAGTTGAGTTTTGTTTCATTCCAATATATTTTACGGGACGTCTGCTGTGTGTAAGCTTTTTCTCCAATATATTATACTGGATGAGTGTAGACATGTGATTTTTGACCCTCCCCGAGAATTTTCACATTTTTAGCGTAAATATTTAATTTAGGCCTAATATAGCTATTTCAACTATTTTTGACTTCTTTACTTTATTTTCGTCACAAAAATGAAAAATTACAAAAAAAAAAGGATATATAAATTTTAGTTCATGTATTTCTCATAAACTCTAAAAATACAAAAATAGTACTTTATATTTTTATCTCTATATAAAAACGAAAATTACAAAAAATAATTTCATTAATATTTTGTAGTCTTTTTAATTCTTAAAAATACAAAAATAGTACTTTATATTTTTATCTCTATATAAAAACGAAAATTACAAAAAAAAATAGTTTCATTAATGTTTTGTAGTCATTTTAATCTTGAAAAATATCCAAAAATAGTTATGTTTTAATTATCACTCTCACTTTAATAGTTATTTTGTTTACGTGAGACTAATTAAATATGATCGTGTTTTTATTCTCGGTTGCGGGGAAAGAATAACATTTGGATTCAAAAGAT